TCTCCACCCTCTAAACAAAAACTCTAGGAACAAATGATACCTAGATCTTGCCTGCCTGAGAAAACTTCATCTCAATTAGCTTAGTGGGTACTGAGCATCTTCAAAGATCGCCAGGCATGGCAGCTGCTGTGGTTCCCTCCGGGTGAGGCAGACACCACGCCTCATTCCTCCACCTGCTCAGGGATCAGCAGTTCACGGAGCATGGCCTGGAGACACAATCCCAGACAGTGGTGCTGCCTGGGGGATAAAGGCTGCACCCGCCAGTGGGATGTGCTGGAGCATTCCCAGCCCTCAGCCGTGTCTCTGCACAGAGGTGGAGAAACGTGAGTGTGTGGCCAAGGAAAGGTTGCTGGTGGATCTGGCCGGGTGTGGGGTCGCAGGCATGCCAAATGAGAGCATGCTTCTCCCAACTGTGGGATAAAAGTTGGGATGGAGCAAGGGGTTTGGTTTCTCTGCGTTCCTTATCTTGCAGCTCCAGGCATCGTTCTTTCAGTGCTTGTGGGGCTCTGGCAGAAAGTGGGGAACCAGATCTTGGGGTGGACCGGGTTGTGCTGTGTTATGGTGCTGCTCTGCATTTCACAAAACCGGATGGAAGTGTGATTTATTGAGCCACTGATGTGCAAGTTTGCTGTTTTCTAGTTCCTCTTGCATACAAGAAGGCTGGTCCAAACAGCTTGCCACTTTGTATAGAAGCTTATTTCCTTTTTGGGAATAAAATTTCTAGGTATAAAGTTCACAGTAGTTTCTGTTGTATAAAGGGAGTTGATGAGTGCAAAAAAAAAAAAAAAATATGCACGAAGCAGTGCTAAGATAAAGTAGGCATGACCTGTTGAGCCCTGGTGTGGTACCATGTTGGCCCCCAGGCAGTGCCTGTTTTCTGGTGCCTGCCATCGTCTCTAGGTGTTTCAGGACACGAGGTTGATTTTTCTCATCCCGTAAGAGATGAGGCTATTCAGAAATCGGTGGGAGCCACCGCTGAACAGGGTGGGATTTGCCATTGTGATGGAGACTCCATTTGCTGCTTTTGGGTTCTGGTTTCTGCCTGCTTGCAGGAGAGACCCAAGCCCCTGAAGGAGGAGGGAAGAAGGAACTTGGCAAAATCCTTTGTTGCTTTTTGTTGGATGTGGACAAAACTCGGGCTCCTGTTGTCCTCTGTGGCCGAGACAGGAGTATGAAGTCTGCATCCTGCCTTTGCCTTCCTAGAAGCCCCACCTGGTGCAGAAGCTGTTTCCTGCTCCCAGAATAAAGTCCTGGTCCTGGCTGCAACACTTAAAGCTGCAGCTATTCAACTGGTCTGTTTTCCTTTGAGG